TGGCTAATTCATTTCAATGTATGACAAAAACCACTGCAATGTTGTAAAGTAATTAGCCTCCAACTAATAAAAATAAATGGAAAAAAAAAAGCAGCTTAAAAATCATTCATTAGACAGCTGTTACATATAAAGCTGGAATTCAATAGAAGGCGAAAAGGAAGGTATTCATTTTCATGTTCAGAAAGCACTATTCATGCCTACTATGAAAAAGCCAGTTTGCACGTAATAAATTCATATTTAAATGATTGTTTTGTTAGAAAAATAATTACCTGTGAGACACCCAACTTTTTACAAGCATCGAGAAAATTTTCTACATTTCTTCGACATTTCGCCATGCTAAGTTTAGGCTGCAAAGTAAGAAAAATAGTATATTTTCAGGTATATTTGTACAAACTTATAAAAACTCAAAATTATATTTATTGAAGTATATTATTTAAAGATTGTTTCAAGCAGTTCTATCTTCCTTTAGAGAACTAACAAACTGTAGCCAAAACTTACCACTGCTGGTGATGGCACATGAATACTAGCTACAGAGCGTGGCCTTATATGATTGGCTAAATGGCAAAGAACAACCCCATCCATCAGTGCAGCTCCTATGTCATCAGGCAAAATTACTTTTAACCTGGATTCAAGATTCTATAAAAGAAATGGGTATAAATCACATTCCATTTAAATATATATATATATATATATATAACTAATCATCACATAATCTAAAATTTTAAAGAGTACTGAAAATAAAATATCCTTTTTTAGTTTTCCAAGTTAAACCCATTTCTATAAAGCAGACCTGAAAGGTCAATGTGACTTACATTGCGAAGCTGTCGTATTTGCTCTCGCTCTTCCCGTAGATGTTCCATCTTTCTTCTCATTGTAAAACCTGGATCTGCTGCCCCATATTCCTGGCGAGATGAGCGGCTGAAAGCTATAAAAACAGAAATTGCCTAGCTTATTACAAAGCTAATCGGAAGGATCAACCATCGGCAGGGAAAGAGGCATGATACAAAGAACTAGAACAAAATGACATAAAACACTTTCCTTATTAATGAATTCTAAATATTTTTTACAGAATATAATTGAAACTTACTTATCTGCATAATTGAAAGCAACAGGGAAGACAAGTGTAACAACTGCTACCACCTATACATGTTCTTACTTAAACATATGTTATTAGAAACATGATCCAGGTTAAGAATTATTATTGAACACAAATCAGCCTTTATTATCTTTAAAGAAAAAGGAAATTATTTTTGAAGGTCAATACAGTTATTCAGGAATAAAAACTATAATTCAATACCTTGCCAAGTAACATGGATCCATTTTCTTTTGGGCTTGCCAAATGCGAAAAGATCCCTTTTTAAAACCACAATATAATGGAGTGCTATAATTTCAAACAGTGTTTGGTCTGCTGGCAGAGTGGTCATTCTAATAGCAGTCACAGTAGAGTAGAAATAAGACTGCAGTATATCTAAGGCAAAAAGCTGAGGTTTCAGGAGCTTGAAGGTAAAGAGGAAGAAAGAAATGGGGAACGGGAATTGGAAAGACAAATAAGGTTAAGAGAAAATTACTTTTAGGAGAGGGGAAAGAATCTATGTGTACTTAAAACTAAGGAATCAATCCCATTTAAGCTGAGAAACTAGTTTTGTATATAACCAATAGATTGTATTTTCAGAATATATATTTACCTGATCTAGGCTTCAAGCCAAAGGGACCATGTGAAAAAACATCAGTTCTATCATACTCCTAAAAACAAAAAAAAAATAAAACCTTTTTTCTTTCAAAATAATCAAAGTAGTTACATCCATTCCAATTTTGAGAAGTATTTATTTTTTTCCATAATTAGTGGGGTAGAGAAAGGTAAATTGCAGTTTAATTCAAATAGATAATGTTTCATTTTTAAAAGGTCTACAAATATTTGCTAATTAACTTCTCTCTTAGTATAAGGGAAATGAAAGTTATTAAAGTGAATCAAATAAACATATACTCTTTTTTTGAATGAAGAACCAGATTAAAGTCTCCTGCAAAATAGAAAAAAGTTTCAATGAAAAGGTAAGTGAAATTAGTGACACTTACTCACTATCTACTATGGACTTGACCCTTAGTGGATAATCTGAGGCAAATATACACATTCAAACTAATAGTGGCTGCAGAGTGATAGATAATAAAGCATTATTTCTTCTATCTGAATTCACATTATTTCAAAGTGCTTTCAAACAGTAGTGCACTGTGTAAAGAAACATGGTATATTTAAAAAATCTGAACTTAGAGTCAGAAATTAGACTAAGTTTTAAGCAAAACATTTAATTTTTCTGTAACTATCCTTTCACCTTTAAAATAGGATGCTGTAAAAATTAACTGAGATAACTAAAAGAAAGCACTTTGCAAATTATAAAATGGAAAGATAATGCAATTTTAATAGCATCTTATTTAATCTGTACAACTGTGAAGTTGTTAGAGTTTGGGCTTCAGTCAGTCCTCTACCATTTACTGACTGAAGTCTTTAGAAAAACTTATCACTCTTGAGCTGTAAAAGGATGAGGATAATATCCAGATCGTGGGACTGCTCTCCAGTTTAAATGTATAGGCAAGCACTTTGTTAATAGTAAAGCACTATACTAATTGTTTTTACCATTTTCCTTTCACAGATGAAACTGAAACAATCAGCATTCCGGTGACTCTCTTAATTTTCTGATTAACATGGGATAAGCAGTTCAAGTTGAACGTCAGTTGAGCTACCCAAATACATGCTCGCCACCTATTCATCCACAAGCCTGTTTGTCTTGATTATTTCAGTTAAAGTATTATGAATTTCCAGACAAAAATTTAATTTATCCAAATGTAAGAAAAATGTGTTATAGAAGCAATATAATTTATTTGAGAAGATTGGCACTGATCCTCTTCTCATTGAGCATAGCTCATAAAATCAGAAAAAATCTAAGTAAATAAGTCATCACCTACATTTGTTATAACTGACTGTAAAAGAAAGGATTTACAAAAGCATGTTACAAAGACTAATTTTAGAATATCCCAATTTAAACTGTTTTGAAAAAGAATGTAAACCAGTTTACCTGCCATATATAAGTAGTTTAGAAACATGTTTATAAAACTAACATCTAAGTCCATCTTAAAGTTTTATAATGCAACTCACCCAAAACAATACACAAACAATTCTGGCTTTTAAAAAAACTAACACCACCTATATAAAATGAAATACTGTCTAATTAACCAAAATTATATTGTGATTTTGGATCATTCAAACATTTAGACAAAGTCCTGAATTCACCAAATAAATAAAAAAATCATCTATTTACTAATGCCAGTACACTTTTAGAATACTAAGTAATCTGAAGTAGAAGAGCTATTGTTTAGAATTTTTAAAATTTATCTCATAACATATTAAAAGCAACAGGTTTAACTAAATTAGAAGAGTCATTCAAACCAAAAGAATATTTGGTTGAAATCTCAGAAACTCTTAACTTTCATCTACCCCTTCTCCCCATGCCCCCTCCTTAGGTCTAAGATGCTAGGAAAAGTGTACCCTCTTGTCGATAGGAACAACCCACTACAGGGATGTTTCTCGTGGAAAAAGGAAGTTTTTCTTGCATTGCTTTCAGACCTAATTGGTTATGAGAAAAACCAAAGGCCATTGCACAATGCTGAATGAAGTATTTTTTTCAAATTTAAAATCTGAAAGCTACTCTTGTCATTTATTTCAAAATATGGATGAATTATAAAACATAAAAAACTTATAAAGTGAAATATTTCATGTGATCTATAGGCATTTTTCAATAATTTAAGTGATATTCATTATGAATATTTGTACCAAAATATGGTGTTCTTAGAAGTTTTTGTAGGCTAGTTTTGTACAAATTAACCTACTATGGATTTTTAAATATGGGTGAAAAAAACTACATTCAAAAAAGAAAGATGAGGTTAGAGAGAATAGACAAAGAAAACCTATGTAAACACATTTAAAAACAGAACTTGTACCTCAGATGATACTGGCGATTGTGGTGACATATTAGCATTATCACTGCCTTGCTAAAATATAAAAATAAAAACATGAAACATGCAATTAAAATATGAATGATGATTCAGACATGTAAAAGGAAAACTGAAACTACTAAAGGAAGGATCTGGAAAATACCATCCACCACCTTGCCAAAGTGTGGTCTGTAGACCAGTAGCATCAGCATCCTCTGGGAGCTTGTTTGAAATGCAGAATCTCAGGCCCCACCCAAGACCTACTGAATCAGAATCTGTATTTCAGTAAAATCCCCAGGTGATTCATTAGCAATTTAAAGTTTTATAAGTAGTATACACTTACATCAAATATTTTCTTACAAGTTTATTTCCTTTAAATATCACAAATGAAAAACCTTTCTATATTTCTTAGAAAATAGCCACATTTTAAGATTAATTCCTGATAAGAAATGGCAGCAATATGTTCCAGTGTGAGACAGACACAGGGACGCATGCAAAAATTCCATCACCCCAATAATAACATTTACCTGGAAAATTACGTTTATCTAACATAAGCTTAGAAATGACAAAGAATTGAACTGAATAAAATACTACTAAATGGTTCATGTTTTTTCTTAATGACTACTATTAAACAAATACAAAAATCTTAAAATTTAACCTTGAATATACACACAACATAGAGTATACATTCATCATCAACAAATGATTACTGACTGTATACTATATGTCAGACACTGGTGCTAGACCGGGGGAATATTGAAACTTAGTAAAATATCATCCACTCAAGGATCTCTTAGTCTAGGGGTAAAATAGATTCATTTACAGAAGCAATACAAACGTCTCAGTACAATAATAGAGCATGCATGACATATTATTAGACACAGATAAGGGACACTTGGGGAAATGGTGGTGCTGATAAGTAAAGTTTCCTGAGAAACTAAAAAACTGAGTAGATGTTTAACAATATTCCAAGATGAGAGGACAACAAGGACAAAGGCACAGAAACAATAAATATAAGGATGAATGCAGAAAACCTTGTGCTGTGCTGTGCTTAGTAGGAAACCTTGTAGTTTTGTAATTTTGAAGAGTATGGTGAAAGGAAGGTAAATCATGAATTGAGGCTGATGTGGGAAGCTGAAGTTTGATTAAGAAGAACCCTGAATTTACCTTCTAAGTGATGAGGAGACAAAGGTTTCTAAGCAAGGGAATGGCCTGATCATATTTGTGTCCTTTGAAACAATCATTGGCAGCAGAGAGGAAAATGGATTGGAGAAAAGGAGAAGATCAAGTATGCTATTGCAGTAGTACAGGCCAGAAATGATAAGGGCTTGTGCCAGAGCAGAAATGCAGGTGGGGAATGTATTCAAAATATTTCTGTATCCAAAAAAAAGAGAGTAGGTTTTGGTAACTGATTAGTTATTGAAGCTGCTGCTGCTAAGTCGCTTCAGTCGTGTCCGACTCTGTGCAACCCCATAGACAGCAACCCACCAGGCTCCCCCGTCCCTCGGATTCTCCAGGCAAGAACACTGGAGTGGGTTGCCATTTCCTTCTCCAATGCATGAAAGTGAAAAGTGAAAAGGAAGTCGCTCAGTCGTGTCCGACTCTTCACGACCCCATGGACTGCAGCCTACCAGGCTCCTCCATCCATGGGATTTTCCAGGCAAGAGAACTGGAGTGGGGTGCCATTACCTTTTTCAAGATGTTGAAGCATGCAGGACCAAAGTGGATTAAACATAAAAAGGAACAAAGAAAGCATCCAAGCTGAACCTTTAACCTACAGTACAACACACACTTTTTGGGTGATTCCATATCTTAAAATTAAAGGAGTTTTCAGAAGTCCTGCCAAGTATTCAACATCAAATTAATTACCAATCTGTCCAAACAAAAATACATAGTTACTTAAGTATTTATGGTGATGAGACTGTATCATTTTAAAAATGCCAGGCTGTTGTATAAGTTAAAATGATGAGGTAGAAAAATTTACAGTAATGCTCAAACTGTAGAAATCTAATTTTCAATGTTAAAATAGTATACAGAGTTGTGAAAAGAGATTAATAAGTTTCAAAGGAAAAATCTCAATTGACCACCACGCTGATTTAAGAAGATAAAATATGCAAGAATTTTAATTACAGTTTTAATATGAGTGCTAATAAAATTCTAAGACCAAACTACTAGGAACATGTGGAAATTATATAATCAAATTAATAACAGTCTAATCATGCTAATTTTTTATTATTGGAGAAAACCCATGCATTAAATCAATAACAAGATAGATTATATTTTACTCTGATTGAGCCAATTACATATGAAAATAAATGTTTTAAATAATTGCTAATATTACCCTCTTTTCTCACCTCATTGTTTTCATTGCCACTTGAACTCTTCCTTGATGATTTATACTGAAAAATATTTAAAGCACATACTTTATTTTTCCTTGGACATGAATTCTCTAACTAGTAAATTATATATGAGGTTTACTCACATTTTGATACTTTTAAATTATCTAAATTATATGTAAAATGTAAACTGCATGTAAATATCTCTAGATTAAACTGTTTAATTTCATAACCATTTTAAACAGTCCTACTACTTACTAATAGTTAACGCAAATAGTACTTTCTATATGCAAGGCATTGTTCTAAGTACACACATCAAGTAACATTTATTTCCTAAACCAATCTATTTCCCATTCATTCAGGTTTGCTGAGTCTTGTCTTAAATCCTCCTTTTTCTTAATCCACTATACACAAAACATCAGGTCAGTTCTTTCTGAAAAGTCTCTCAGACTTCTGAATTCTCTCAACTATTAAACTATTAGTTTAATAGGCTTTATTACCTCATGCTTAGTCTGCAATCTCATTCAAAATGTCATTCATTTTTAAGAAACCTACTGATTTTAGGTTAAGAAATACTATATCACATGTATATATTGACTATACAATAATAGTAATAGTGATAATAGCTAACACTTATACTAGTGCTTACTATTAATATATACTTGGCACTGACTGAAGTGTGTTATACGTATGGACCCACCCACTTAATCTTAACAACTCTGAGGTAAATACTATTACCTCCATTTTATACAAGGAAGAGAGGTAATATGCTTAATATCACAAATGCTGGAATGTAAAAAAGTGCTTTTACTAGGATCAATAATCAAGGAAATACAGTTTTGACAACCACTAAAGTTCTGATTCCTCGATCACAGAAATTTTCCTGCAAATAGAGGTAGATTGACCCTTTTTCAAAACACTAACTCTTCTATTGAAAAAAAAACTAACTTTCCAATTATGTCCAAATTTCTCTGCTGGCAATCAAGGTTCTATTTAATGTCCCCCTTTACTTATGCAGCATCATCTTCCATAACTCTTGGAAAAACAGATAACCTACCTGGTAACTCAACCACAAACTGGAGGATGAACAGCATCAAGGATTATAAATATAAGACCTAAATTCCTCTACTGTCTCTCCTGTGGCTTACAAAAACTATCAGTAACTACCAAGGTGTTCTTTGCAGCCAATCCCAGACAAAGCCTCAATACACTTTCAACCCAATGTTCCAGATAGCCATCGAACAGCACTGGCATGTGTGAATAAACCTATTTTCCACCCTTCAGCATGATGTCACTGATGGCACTTGTTCTATTTCAATAAAAGAGTGACACTTGGCGAGTGAACACCAGGACCCCGAGATAGCATCAGTCATACTATTGAAGAAGAAGAAACTCATGGACATCAAAACAGGGGAACTTCCCAAGCTTGTTACTGCTGAAGGATTACACCTCTAAAGGCACTGTTGAAGAGTTTCAAAAAGGTTACTACAAGCATTACAAGCATGTCACTGGAGTTTCTATGCTTACGTGCTTTTCAGTTACTGCCTTTCTTAAAAGGAACTCAAACATGAGCATTTATGCAAGTACCCACTGAAGAGCACACAGACTGCATTCCTGACCATGACTACCTTTGCCCAACAGCCCTGATCATTGCTGAATCCTTTCATATTTTAATTGGGAATTAATATCTGATAAAAGATGACTAGTAGAAAAACAAACTAAAAATAAAACAATGACAATTTAGTAAATAATAAGCTAATTAAGTCTGGAGAAATACATACAGAAATCTGTATGCAGGTCAAGAAGCAACAGTTAGAACTGGACATGGAACAACAGACTGGTTCCCAATCAGGAAAGGAGTACATCAAGGCTGTATATTNAGAGTTGACTCATTGGAAAAGATCCTGATGCTGGAAGGGGTTGGGGGGAGGAGAAGGGGACAACAGAGGATGAGATGGTTGGATGGCATCACTGACTCGATGGACATGAGTTTGAGTAAGCTCCGGGAGTTGGCGATGGACAGAGGAGTCTGGCGGGCTATAGTCTGTGGGGTTGCAAACAGTCAGATACGACTGAACGAATAACACACACACACACACACACACAAGCTAATTAAGTATATACTATGTGGCAAGTACTGTTTTAAGCACTTTACATTATTCATTAAATAATTCAGTAGTTATAATAATCCTGTGAAGGAAGATACCAATAGAGTCATTTGAAGATAAAAAAAAGAAGCTCAGCAAGATTAGGTAATTTACCAAATTTTACCAAATTTACCAGTCACTCAATTAGTAAGATATTTAAGTGAGCACTGGAACCAAAGTGGTTTGATTTCTGAGGACAAGGCTCTTAACCACTATGCTATACTCTCATCCCTAAATCCTAAATGATTAGTAGAGATTTTTCAGGAATAAGAAAATGAGCATGCTCAGAAGAAGGAGAGCACAAAGAAAAAAAGTTCAGTCTAGGAAAAAGTCAAAGAGTTGCTAATGAGACTATGTCAGGTAATAGCACTTAGGTAAAGATGGACATGATGTTTGCTTCCTTTTTTTTGGACATGATGCTTTTTAAAAGTCCAAATTTTGTTATTGATAATGGGGAGCCAATAAAGAATTTTAAGCCAGGGATTTCTCTACAAACTGTTAAACGTGAGAAAGCAGAACCATTAAGAAGTTATTATTAACACAACTGCCCATAAAAGAAAGAATATGGGTTCCAACACAAGCAAGGGCAGTAGCTATGGAGAAGAGGTAATGAACTGGAGAAACATGTATAGTTAGCATTCTGGTGAACAAGTAGGTGAGGAGAAAGAGCAAGTTCAAGGAGGACTGAGGTACACAGCTTAGAAAACTGGGTGGGTAATACTGCTATTAACTAAAATAAAGAATAGAGAGGAGGAGCAAGTTCCATGGTGGTGGATTGAGACAGGGAGACACGATGAATTTGAAACACATGGTATCCAATCAATTAGAAACACACATACAGAGACAAGTGAAAAAAAAGGTACGAGATGTAAATTTAGACCCAGGAGAATATGAGACATCTGAAATCATAAGAGCTTCAGAGAGAGTAAGGAAAGAGGATGAGACCCTAAGAGCAAGTAGGAGAAAAATCAGAAGAAAAGTTAGCCAGGAGTATCAAAAAGAAAAAAGAATCAGGGAAGGAAAATGAGGAAGAAACCAAGCAAGGGGTTTTGAGAAGAAAGATGTCTCATCACTGTGAAACGCTGCACTGAATTTTGTTTGCTGTTAGTAGATATGTTACACTCCAGTGAGGCTATTTCAGAGAAGGCAATGGCAACCCACTCCAGTACTCTTGCCTGGAAGATCCCATGGACGGAGGAGCCTGATGGGCTGCAGTCCATGGGGTTGCTACGAGTTGGACACGACTGAGCGACTTCACTTTCACTTTTCATTTTCATGCATTGGAGAAGGAAATGGCAACCCACTCCAGTGTTCTTGCTTGGAGAATCCGAGGGATGAGCGAGCCTGGTGGGCTGCCGTCTATGGGGCTGCACAGGGCCGGATATGACTGAAGTGACTTAGCAGCAGCAGTGAGACTATTTTAATGGAGAAATGGAAGTAAAAGCTGCATTGCATTGAGTTAAGTGAAGTGAAAGTCACTCAGTCATGTCCGACTCTTTCGGACTCCATGGACTGTAGCCTGCCAGGCTCCTCTGTCCATGGAATTCTCCAGGCAAGAATACTGAAGTGGGTTGCCATTCCCTTCTCTAGGGGATCTTCCCAACCTAGGGATCGAACCCAGGTCTCCTGCACTGCAGGCAGATTCTTTATCATCTGAGCCACCAGGGAAGTCCAAGAATATTGGAGTGGGTAGCCTATCCCTTCTCCAAGGGATCTTCCCGACCCAGGGATCAAACCGGGGTCTTCTGCATTGCAGGTGGATTCTTTACCAGCTGAGCTACCAGGAAAGCCCACAGTGAGTTAAGGAGTGATCAAAAACTACAGATCTAGAAAAGCCAAGTTTGGTCCCAGAAGAAAGCAAAGAAACAAGGCAACAGCTGAAAAGGGAATCAGGGATAATGGTAGAGGTCTGAGCATATTTATAAGATGGAAGGTAAAGAGACAGGACATAGAAGAGTAAGCAGATAATTGATAAAGCAAAGAAACAGAGGATGATGCAGTCAAAAACTCGATGAGACTTGCATTATTGTTACTCAATTACTATTCTAATTTAAAATATCCATTATACACAAAAACTTAGAAAGATACTTGTTTTGCATTACTGTACATATTTAAAGATCCTAAAACCCAAATCTGAATATATACATAGATTTAAAATATTCTGTAAGTCCAAATTCTTACTAATTCACCTCAGCTGTCCTCAATTAATATTAGTTTGAAAAACTGAAGTTTCATTAATTCTAAATTAAAATACTATGCAATAAAGGCCTATTTAAGAAACACAAAGATCAGTTCGTTCATCTCTGAAGCTCATATTAACTTCACAGGAAAGACAGTATTTGTGCACAAACTGACTCAGAACAAATCAACTCATTTCACAAGCTCAGCTGGCTTCCCTATTCTGTTATACAGCTAAACACAGTCAGAGAAAATACACGAAAATATTTTCCTTCAGGTTAAGCCCAATTAAAGTATCATACTATATTTACAAAATTAAATAGGTATTCTAAGAGTCATAATGCTTTATCACAAAAGTAATCATATACATTTGAGGATAAATATATATATATGGCATTTAAATAAATAAAATAATCTTTAAAACTAATTTAGCACAGTTATCTAGTGTTTTTAACTTTATTTAGAAAAGAATCATCAAATGCATTTAGAAATTTGTATTGTCATTCCTACAAGAAATGAAAGCAACTAATTTACATTGAACATTATCAACAAAAGGTTAGATTTTCATACTTTGTTTATATACTAATAAATTTCTCTAAGATTTTTTTTAAAGTAATGTATTTTCTGGAATACCTTTACTTTGAGAAACGCGGTGATTTTATTTCAGCAACAATGACATTAAATTTTATTTACTAGAATAGTAGTCTAAACAAGGGTGGCCAAGAGTCTAAAAGAGTTAACATAACTCTCCTACAATGATATACTTACTCATATAGTTTGACCTAAATTATCTTCTTACTCACATCATCTGGCCAATTATGTTGAAACATTTTTTTAATTTTGTTTCAGGGGCTTACCTGAAAAACATACCTCCCCAAACCAGTCCTAGCAACTAAGAAACCAGAGAGCTAGAGTTTATACACACACACACATTTTCAATAAATCTCCTAAATAACAGCACCATGAATAATTTACCATGGGACACAAACAAATACTGTGGTTCAGTCATTTATATGTGCTGGGGTAAAGTTACACAAAAGTTCTATGTTTCATTACAAAGCAAAGTTAAAGGAGCCATCACTGAGTGAGCTTAGTGATAATTTGATATGTATCTCTAGAGTAGTATACATTAACTGTATATCCAAATTAAATTCAATATTGTATCTTATGAATAAGCCTTTTGACTCCTGAGGGATAAGTGATTAAAAGATATTTTCTTTTTGAAAGAAAGATACTTCACAGAAATTGATGATATTTTAATCATGAAAACATTGGCAAATCTGAATAACACTTTGGACTTCACTTAGTAGTATCTCAATTTTACAGTTTTTTTAACATCTTAGGAAAAAATTGTTGACATTCAATTTTTTACAGTGTCCTAACACTGACATCTTCTGACTATTGAGGAGAACTACATATCTGCTTAAAACATTTCCCAGTTGAAGCTTATCTTTGCACCTATTTATTAACTATAGTAAAAATTCACATTTGTTGAATGATGATTATGGACTCTTCAAATATTATCTCATTTGATCCCTTAGCAACTTATAAAATGGTAACATTATGGAAGGTATATTTAAGCCATAGAAAACAAAATATTAAACAACAAATTATTCTAATTAAATCAAACTATTTTTTAAGGTTCACTGAGGCTTCTATTAAGATTTTTATTGAGAGTTTTATTTGAGTTACAATAAATTAAAAAAAACCAAAAGTGTTCATTTGGTATTAGGCTATCCACAGTAGATCAACAGGCAGCACAGCATAGGCTCTGGGTTCAATGAACTCAGACGTTTATTACCCTAAGTGACCTAGAGCATATTACTTAGCCTCTCTGTGCCTTAATTTGCCCATCTATAAAGTAAACATGGTAATAAACGTACTTACTCATAGGGTTGTTATAAAGATTAAATGAATTGATATTTGTAAAGTAAGTACTTAGAACAGTGCCTGGCACTTACTAACTGCCATATATAAGTATTTTGACAAACAGAATCTGTATGCTTTTACTATACTAATAGATCAAATAAAAATCAAATCTTTTATTAGTTAAAAATATTAAAATTTATACCACATCATCAGTTATTCATTAAGTTTTATCTGTTAACAAATTTCCTTTAGTGCCTTTGTTCAAATTCCATAAACAAAAAGAGGGAATTTTAAATTAATAAATGCCAGAATGTAAATATAACTGCAGATTTGTAAAGGGTATTGACCAGGGTTCTAACTAGAATGTCTTTCCCCTTTTATTTTTCTTTCTTCATTTCTTTTATTTCTTCATTATCTCTCATATTGACCAGGTAACATGAGGCTCATTAAAAGGATCCAGTAATTATTTGTTGATGACGTAAACTTACACAGACTAAGACATATAACATTTTTGTTTGGGGCATATACTACTACTTCCAAATATATGTTACACATCCACAAAAAGAAAACTGATCAATGTGCATAGAGATCCACTTTCATCAAACTGATAACAGCATGAAATAAGAACTATGTACTTATATATGTATTTATTATTAGACAAAATTAGGTTTAGGGAAACAGAAAAGTCCACAAAGACAACAAAATTTGCTGAATAGAGCAGGAACTTCTTTTCACTGTTCATTTGAATCAGAAATTCCAATAACAAATTCAAGAGTACTCCAATTCTAATGACTGGTCACTACAAATATAGCAGACCTGAATCACAAATAGACAAAAAATATTATAATGTTTAGGAAGGTGTACACAATGAAATTTCATTAAAATTCTGCTAACTAGAAATTTGAGATAATTCAGATGGCCCGAGCCTTTAATTGAGCCAAGACAAACACCATCCTAAGAAATATATTAAGGTAATAAGAAAATGGGGGAGAAGCTTTTTAGAATTATGTAAATAGCATTTATTTATACTGAAACAGTTAAATGCTAATTGTGAAAATTTGTCAACTCTTTATTGAAACAAACTCAAAGACCTTTTTGGGGCAATTCTTTTAAAACATTATTACATATTGCTACAACAAGCAGTGTAGTAAACATTCATACTTCTTGTAAAGTATCTGGCAAATCACAATTCACACTGATCTACTCTTAATTATTTTGAATTGTTGAAATTTTATGGAAATAACTGGATCATATAATTATCCCACATACATGTAGGAAATCAAGATAAAATAACACATCTTCTATATTTAGCTAGAGAGTTATATTCTGTCATACTAATGTAAAAAAATGGATAAAATCAAAACTAATAATTACAAAGTACATTTTATAATTGAATAAAGTACCTTGAAATATTCTTTTCTAATTTGTTTGCTCCGCCTCCTTTCTTCACTCTGCCAGATTATAGGGTGAGATTCTGGCCATTGCTGCTCATCTGTTTGATCCTTTTGATTTTCTAAGGTCTGTAACAAGATAATTTCTTTTAACGAAATAAATGAGAAAAAAAATTAGATATAACAGCAATTTAATTTCTTCTTACCTGCCATATGAGGGGTGATAAGGGTGAATTAACTTCATCTGCTGAGACACTAAAAAATTAAAAATGTCTTAATACTTAAAATATTTAGAATTACTCTTATTATACATTATTAACATTATAAAGTTATCATTTTTTTCTTTTTACCAGAAATCTTAAGAATTTACCCATGCCTATGCTTTGAACTAATAACATAAAACTTTTACAAAACATATTCAATTCCAAATAACTTATGGTCCTTTGAAAAACATCAAAATGCATTTATTATTTAATAACACGCTACACATTGAGCTACTCTAAGGACTTTTGAACCCAAAAGAAATGTAGTATCTAGTCAAAAAATATTATAGATATTTATTATATTAATTCATTACCAAAGACTAAAAAAAATACAATTACTTTAGACGATCTGCTTGAAACTTCAAGTGACCTAACATAATTGAAGTTCCAAAATAATATATGCTATGTGATAGGAAAGATAAAGATAAATTAAGACTTCAAATTTTCAAATTTCATGAAAACAATAAACACACAAATTTGAGAAGCACAATGAACTTCAAGCAAAAAAAAATGAATACTACAATAAGATACATCACAATTAAATTTAAAACAAATGATAAAAATAAAATGTAAAAAGCAGACAGAGAAAAAAATACACATTAGGTTCAGGGAACTGACAAGAGAGTTCTCACAGGAAACAGCACAATCCAGAAGACAAGGGAAAAACCTCTTTAAGGTACCAAAAGAAAACAAAATTATCAAATGAGAATTTTATACTAGCAAAGATATCTTTCAAAAATGAAAGTGAGGGAGGAGCCAAGATGGCGGAGGAATAGGACGGGGAGACCACTTTCTCCCCTACAAATTCATCGAAAGAACATTTGAACGCTGAGCAAATTTCACGAAACAACTTCTGATCACTAACAGGACATCAGGCGCCCAGAAAAGCAGCCCATTGTCTTCAAACGGAGGTAGGACAAAATATAAAAGATAAAAAGGGAGACAAAAGAGCTACAGACGGTGACCCGTCCCGGGAAGGGAGTCTTAATAGAGGAAGTTTCCAATCACCAGGAAACCCTCGCACTGGCGGGACTGGGGGAAGTTTTCGGCAATCTAACTGGGAGGAAAAATTAAA